CGCTTCCTCGAGCAACACTAAACAGGTATAAAATATATTGATGCGTGTGTGCCGATCACGTGTGTCAGTATATAGAGATGTGTGCCGATCACGTGTGTCAGTATATAGAGATGTGTGCTGATCACGTGTATCAGTATATATTGATGCGTGTGTGCTGATCACGTGTGTCAGTATATAGAGATGTGTGCTGATCGCGTGTAACAGTATATAGAGATGTGTGCTGATCACGTGTGTCAGTATATATTGATGCGTGTGTGCTGATCGCGTGTCAGTATATATTGATGCATGTGTGCTGATCACGTGTGTCAGTATATATTGATGTGTGTGTGCTGATCACGTGTCAGTATATATTGATGCGTGTGTGCTGATTGCGTGTGTCAGTATATATTGATGCGTGTGTGCTGATCGCGTGTGTCAGTATATATTGATCCGTGTGTGCTGATCACATGTCAGTATATATAGATGTGTGCTGATCACGTGTGTCAGTATATATTGATGCATGTGTGCTGATCACATGTGTCAGTATATATTGATGCGTGTGTGCTGATCGCGTGTGTCAGTATATATTGATGCCTGTGTGCTGAACACGTGTCAGTATATATTGATAATAATAATAAACTTTATTTTATATAGCGCCTTTACAGGTGGCTTCTCAAAGCGCTTGATGCGTGTGTGCTGATCACGTGTGTCAGTATATACTGATGCCGATATATTGATCAGCCAGTTCAGACTGGGATCCCCTCTGTATCTGCAGCAGGCAAATGACAGCACAAACTGATCATTGCAATATAACCCTAGTGTAGCGCATGAGCCTGACAAGACCACATGGCCCGCCAGCGTGTTCCTCTCCAGGACGAGGATATCTGGACAGAGAAAACCGCCAGACATTAGAGCCGGATTCACAGGAGCGCTGTGTGTGTGCGTGTGTGTGCGTGTGTGCGCTGTGTGTGCGCGCGAGGGTCAGCACACGGAGGCCCGGCTTCCTCACTGACCCAGTTTGACGTCGCCTCGGTCTGTCAGGAGGATGTTGGCTCCCTGCACATGACAGACGGTGACACAATGAGATCAGGGAGAGGCAGAGCCACTAACTAACACACACACACAC